TGGGTTGTGGGCACGATCCCCGTTGGGAGGTGTGCAGGAGGCAGCCGATCAATGATGACTTTCTCAGCATTGATGTTTCTCTCGCTCTCTCGCCATCTCCCTTCCTCTCTCTGAAATCAAATTTTTTTTAAAAAAGATTAAAAATAATTAAAACATAGGGAACTGCGTTCAAGTCTCACATTGGGACTGCAAGCCCACTGTAGTGTAAATCAAAGATATAGTCCAATCCTCCCCCGCCCCCAGTCAGTGGAAAGGTGTCTGCCTGGCCAGCGGCCAAAGGAGCAGAGAAGCCATTCTGAGTGTTTCCCACATCCTTGACAGCTAACAAGCTTCACCAGACCCTCTGTTTGGCCTTGGCATGCAGGCCATTCCCAGCACTGCTCCCTCCTCCTCCCCTCTGCTAGTTGCTAGATAATCCCTTGCTCAACCCTGGAAACTCACCCGACCTGCTGGCCACCCCTGGGTATTCCCCACTGTGTAAGTAATAACAGCTATGTCTTTTCCCCCATGTGGTTTTTTTAGGACTAGCAAAGAACAGTATCGTGGTCCTGGGGTTGGAGCTCTTACAGTACACCCACAACTTCACAGAGTCAGGAGGGCTCTCAGGTTTTGCTAGAGAACCTCTCATATTCCCCAAAATGTTGTTTCTATTATGCTACTGTCATTCTCAAGGGCTCCCAAGACCTAGAGTAAGGCCCAGTGTCTGCACAGTCCCACCCTGACAGCCAGACCTCCTGCCCATTCCTGAGAGAGCCTGTCCTCTCTGGCTACCAGGCCCCTTGTTCTCCTGATACACTGCCATTGTCATTTCTACCAGCTGTGTCTTTGCAGCAGCCAATACCTTCCTCTCCTTGCTCCTCTCTACTTCTTGCAGGTTACCTAGCCTTCAAACTCCATGTGCACTTGACCCACTTCAAGAAGCACCCATCACTCCATTGCACAGAGCTCCCACCTCCCTTGACACCTCTGGAACCCTGGTGTCTGCTCCCGCCTAGTGCTGGACCATGTGCAGCCTTCGACATGTCTTATGTTAACATTCTAATTGGGTGACATAGCTGATCTCCTTAACTGGGTTGAGAGCTCCTTCAGAGGAAAGACCTGGTATGGTGCTACACACCTAACACAAGCTTCCAATACATATTTCAGGGATAAACGTTGGAGTGTCTGCTTTGGGATCCCTGACTGAGAATGTGGGAGCTGATGACCAAGAAAGTATCATCTCATTCACCAGAAGAGAAAAGTTCCTGCAAAGTTTACCAAGCATGTTTGTGTGAATAATATCCTTCATGTCATATATGTTACACATATATCAAAAGATAAAGATCATTCAAATGGGGGGGAAATATAAGATTAAAAAACAAAAATCATTAAAAATTAAAATAAAATAAATTTTAAAACTTCAGCATGCAGTCAATTACTTTCAATCACCTATTAAAAGAGAAATAGCAATTTTCTAAAAAACAATCTTATTACTCCAACTGAGTCACAGAAAATGAACTCTGTGGTGAGCTAACATTTTTGGATGCTGTATGCACATAAGGAGAAAACAGGTTTCACTTGTCCCCGTGGCCTGGTGAGCCTTCTGTGGGCCTTTATCTGTTCTGAGAGCAGCACCAGCTACTCTGGTTAAGAGCCCCAGGCAGGGCCATCACCACAGCACATGTACTATGTCTGAAAGCAGGTTGTCCTCTCTGCAGGACGTTCCTACTCCAGTCCCAGGGTTTCTTTTACATGATGCAATGAGGAAACAGTGCAGAAATGTGCCTGGCTGAAGCTTTGTTTTTGTTTTTTCATTCTGACTCCAACTCCAGGAGGCCCTCCTTGGTGGAGAAACACTGCCTAGCCATACCCAGGCATGACAAGTGGACACAGGTGTGTGGAGACTGCCCGTGTGTGTGGGAGAGGAATTTGGGAGAGGAAGCGGACAGTGGGCAGAGGCACCGGCTGAGCCAGATGTGAGGCTGGAAGGGGACCTTCCTCTTCCCATTGTCACCAAGACCCTCTTCCTTCTCTGTACTTGAATCCTCACATTTCCACCTATGAGCCAGCTGGTGGATGCCCCTTTACCCAGGACTCTGCAGCAGGGGGCCTTTCAGGGCACCGACAGCAATAGACATCAGGCCTTGACCCAACACCCCTTTCTGTCTCTCTCCCGCCTTTGGTAGGGAGTACAAAGAGGTAGAAAAAAAAATCTGAATAACTAATTCTAAGGAATAAAAGTCTTTCCATCTCTCCCATCTTTCTTTCCAACTCTTAAAGCACTTAAGAGCCTATACCATTTGGTGTTAAATTATTTTCTGCCTTGGGTCACGTATTGTTTATTCATTAATTTTTCCCCTCCAATGGGTCAAGTATAACTTCCTTGAGGTCAGAGAATGATATATAACTTTAGTACCATTTCTCCCCACCACCTCTTATGTCTAGTACAATTTTGATGTAATTACATGTATTAACTTTAAGTGTATTAAAATGAGCTAGGAATATGACAGCCTGTCCCAAATATGTAATATTTGTTGATCGGAACATTTCTAGAAGAGACTCTTGGCATGCATAGGCTTCTTCTGAAAGACAGGAAAACCCAGCCTCATGCAGATGGTGCTTCTAAAGTATGAGGACTGAGGAGGTGTCCCTGGCTGTACCCTAGGTTTTATGGGCAGCTCAGGAGAGAGGTCACTAGAATTGGGTGGAGCTCGGTGGTAGCTCCTGGAGCCAAAAAGAGGTGAGTCTGTGTGTCTCAGGGGAAATCCAGTTTATCACAGACACCTGGAGGCAATTCCCCTCAAGGAATAATGGGATGCCTGGACCCTGGGACAGGATGACTGGTGACAGCAAAGCAATAACTCTGGAGTCAGGGCGGGTGTGGGGAGAGTGGCTCTATTTGTCCTTTTTGGTAGAGGTTGCACTCCAGGACACCTGATGGCCTTAGAGGCTGCCACATGTGCCACAGTGGCAGTGGCTAGGACTGGCACCCTGCAGGACCTTAGAGATGCTAGAGAATCTGACAATGTTCTACTTTGTTCAGTTTGGTCATAACTAACACTTTTCCAAACTTGGCACCAACAAGAGAAAACATTCTCCAAGGGAACTTGTTGCAGTTTTCTAATGTTTAACCTATGCCATCACCCCTGCGTGAGCCCACCTCTCCCCAATCAAGTCAGTATGAATGGGGGTTTGCTCTTGAAGCTTGCACTGGACTTGGGGTCAGCTGCATCTCTACTGGCTTGTCTGTTCCACGCCTGCTTGTCTGTTCCACGCCTGTCCAGAAATACAGAGCAGGTGAACGGGTGAAGGTGAANTTGTCTGTTCCACGCCTGCTTGTCTGTTCCACGCCTGTCCAGAAATACAGAGCAGGTGAACGGGTGAAGGTGAATGGCAGCCTCTCGTGCCTGCAAACCCCCTCCTCCCGGACTCCCAGCAAACGGTGGCAACATCAGTTTCACACAAATCTTCTATCTCCTTCCCTTTATCTTCAAATCTTTCCTTGAAGGGCGTTCTGCAGGGGACGAAGAGAGGAAGGACACAGCACAGACCTCCCCCGGAGTCCACTGATGCTTAAATTTGGACAAGAATTTAATCCCCCCACACGCTCTAAAGAACCTGTGATGTGTATCCGTAACCAGGTGTCGCCCGCGGAGCCTCCCTGTGCCTTCCGATTTCGTTTAGATTTAACTTAGATAGGGACTGATTCATTGGTATTGCTCTTCTGTGCAGGGGGAGAGGGGATTAGGCTTTAAATTCTGTCATTCTGGAAAGAAAAGAAGAAAGGGAGGGAGGGGAGAAAGGAGGGAGGCTCGGAGGCTGGAAGTGCGCGCGGCTCCGGGAGCGAGGGCGCTCAGTCCCCACCGGGGCGGGCGGAGGGCCGCGCAGCCGACACCCTCAGTCCCGCGCCCCGGCTACCAGGTCCAGGTCCTCAGATCCCACAGCCCCTCGGGCTGGCGCTGAACCCCCATGTCTCCTCTCCACTCTCTCCTTCCCAAATTGTTTCCAACTCCAGATTCCTATCTGGACCCTGCAAAGTAATTCAGCTGCTCCCCAGAAGCTCCCCAGAGGTTGTCCCCCAATTCCCTCGGAGACGCACCTGTGCCTATGGTCCGAGAGCAGCCTTCGGTTTCTAAAGGGCACCTTAGAGCTTAGGCGTCGCCGGAGCGGCCGCGTATGCGCTATACTAATGGTATATCTGTATCAGTTCCTTTATTGGTAAGCGAGTCGCACTTGCAGGCGGCGGCAGGCGTGGGCTCCCGCAGCCCGCACGCGGGCAGGCGGGGGTGGGGCGAGCAGCATTTAAGGCGCCGCCGCCTCCCGGGTCAGCGGCTGCCCTCGGCCGCCCAGGTACGCGCAGGGCCAGTCCG